CAGCCACAGAGCCCAGCCACCAGAGCCCAGCCACAGAGTTCAGGGGCGCGGCCAGTGAGTGTGGCCAGCTCTTTTCTTTCTAAGATAGAACCCCAACAGTAAACTGTTTGGGGAAAAAAGAGAGAAAGAGAGAGACAGAAAGAAAAAGTGCTGCACCTGCCACGAAATCTGCACTTCCAGGTTCACAAAGTGCTGTACCTGTCACGAAATCTGCACTTCGAGGTATTCACCAAGTGCTGCACCTGCCACGAAATCTGCACATCGAGGGTCACAGAGTGCTGTGCCTGCCACGAAGTCTGCAAACGAGCCACATGTCCAAAAGTCACGATTCACTGCACCTGTCACGAAATCTGAGCTCCTCGACCATCACCACCATGTCCAAAGTGCTGCACCTGCCACGAAAATTCCATTTCGAAGTCAAACAGCTCGGATCTCTTGTACCTGTCACGAAAAGTCGACTTTGGAGCACCAAAGCACGAGGTTTCCCTTGCACCTGCCACGAAAAGTCACCACCATGTACGAAAATGCGCACGGCACCACAACGAGAGCGCAGTCGTTAGAAGCACCCGCCGCAGACACCCAGATTCAGCGAGCCTGCGCAGTCGAAATGCACATGGACGATGCCGAGAGTCATGAATGTACTGTAAATAGCAGCGAATCAGTCGCACATGCCCGCGCGCTTCAGCGATCTAAGCATCAGCTGCCTTTCCACTAGCGTAGGAACCCCTCAGTGTGCCCACACTGTTTGGGGAACAAAAAAGATAGAGAGAAAGAATTGAAAGAATACAAATTGAAAAGAAATGGAAAAGAAAAGCAAGAAAGGAAACGGAAGGAAAAGAAAAGAAACGAAACAAAAAGAAAAGAACCGCAACGAAAAGAAAAACGAAAAGAAAGGAAAAGAACAAAAACGAAAGGAAAAGAAAAAAAGAGCGAAAGGAAAAGGAAAGGAGAGAGAGATGTGCAGATGCGAAGGTCCGCATGTCTGGATATGTACGGATGTCAAAGTGTGAGATGAGATGTAAAAATGTGCAAATGCGAAAATGCGATCGTGTCTGAGCTTGTATGTGTGTTAATGTGGTCAATGCATTGTCTGCATGAAACGGGCATACATGACATATTTGGACCTGGTACAATGAATGTAAAAGGACAAAAAGCCGGCCATAGAGACAAACAAACGCAAGTTTCGCTGCAAATAGAATCTTACACAACACAACAAACAGCACGAGCCTCATCAACGGGGTCTGTCTCTGCAGTATCTAGATCAAATGCAATGCCACTTGATGCTTCTAGCTGGCTGCCCCAGTCAGCGGTGGCAACTTGACGCAACTCCTGCATTTCCTTCTCCAAGATTTCTTTGTTTTTCATTGCTTTGGCCAAGGCTTCTGATGGCTGCTTTTGCAAGGCATCGATCTGACGATCCAGTTTTGCAAGCTCTGAGGATCGTGTTGCCAATTCGAGCTTTGCATCGCAGCTGTCGACCACCTTGCCTTCGACGTCAGTTGCATCACAAACCTTGACACCAAGGGCGCGAAGTGAGGATGATTCGCTTGTGTCGCCCAGCATCATGACATTGGAATCATTGGAGGATCTCCGTGCAACTGAGTTGAAGGACCCCACTTGTTCTGGTATCATGCATGTATTTCACAACCGCGGGCTGCAAGAATGTCCTACACAAAGTGGTGGATTGAACAGAAAAGATCCAACTGCACCTAGCACTTGCATGCCACCATGTGCAACATGTTCACATGATTCTTCCTAAGCCACCGTCACCATGAGCCGAAACAAAACAACAATGTAGCATAGTGGCTTGTACAAATACGCTGCGCAAACCATGAGGGTGAAGAAACTCAAAAGTCTTTTTGCGCCGCCGCCTGTGCGGAAGTTTCCCAGGAGGAAGGACAAAAAATGACAGAAGCATCGACTTCGTCATTCGACAATTCTTTGAAAGAGTTTTGCTGGGCTTTACGGGACATGGGTGATTAAGCCCTTGCCGCTCAAAGCCATGCGAGTTGCATTACTGCAATCCACATCCAAATTGGAAAATGACACAGCTCAGCTGTTAGCTCTAATCAGCTGCATGCAACATCAGCCTCAGTATACATAGAAAAGACATCTTTGCAAATTCGTTCAATGTCGTTCTCTGTCAAAGGAGCCTTTCCTCCAAATTGTTTCTGCGATGACGGCGCGTCCGTTGTGCACACCATTCTCCACATCCCCGTGCACAGCCGAAGCATGGGTGCAAACATCTTCAAAGCAAGCTCAAACTCTCTAGGGTCATATCGCTTACCCTGGTTGGATGCTCTTTTCCGTCCTCGTTCCACGATGGTGCCCTTGTCTCCAAAAACGCCAACTACATGTATCTCATAGCCTGCTTGCACCAAGTCCTCTGCCACATCGACGCATTGTGACCGGCGGAGGCAGGTGCTCGGAATCATCAAATTCTTGCCATCCTGCTTGGCTCTGTCCAGAAGTTGTTGCTTCTCCTCATTGATGTTTTCGCGAATTCCGAGGTAGGCATTCCACCAAACACATCCGTGTTGATGCCCTTCGCTGATGGCCTTCTGGTAGCCTTGATGCGCATCCCGGAAAGCTTCACCATCAATTGTCACATAGCCCTCAATATCCATGCCAGCCCATTGTGCAGCTTTTGGTGCCAACGTTGACTTTCCACATGCACTAGGGCCTATCAACCACATGGCAGCTTTCTGCCGAGCTCTCTTTGCAGAGTAAAAACCGCTAGCCGTATATGCTTCCAGAAGCTCATTTTCAGTGAATGGTTCACTGATTTCTCCAGACAAGCCCTCACCTAGGTCGTATCCAATTAGCTCACAAATATCATCATCTGAAGCCACCTCCGCATCCAATGAATCATCAACTTTTGACAAGTCTATATTTCTCGGAAAATAGTGCGGCAAATCTGCCGGACCCGCTTTCAAAGATGCAACATGGTTCCCAATCTTCGGTGTCACCCTTACGCGCCGGGACACTTTGCTGGAACTCACCAAACAAGCGATGAGGCTGGTAATGCAGCCAGGGTAGGCATGCAACCTTCTCAGGCTACGGCCGGGACAATGATGTCTCCAAGGGCCGATCTGGTGGACTGGCACACCAGAGACAGCACAGTGTCGCACAGACTGTACAATTCTTGGAAGTGCGGCTCCTCCACTGAATGATTCCATTGCGGCGGTTGCAAGAATTCTCACTATGCTATTGCTATTGTTACTTAACCTGCAAAAGCTGGCCGCATAAAGTCAATACGGCCTGATGTGGTTGGGGAATCGTGCTGTCTCGTGAGTCCCTGCTTCTCCGGAATTGCCGATTTGAGCCATATGTAAATCAAAATCACAGCACAATGCACAACAAGCACGGTGCATCAATCCAAGCCTGCTTGAACTCAGAGTTCTTAAGCCATGGGTCAAAAAACATTTTTCCCTGAGCATTTCAGCCTCCGCACCAACCTACAGAACAACGAGGCTGAAACTGGCTGGAGTCATTATCTGGAGCGACTTCTTGATGTAGCTCGGCCAGTCCTCCTGCATGTGGCGTGCAAAAAATGTAAGCCATGCTTGGGCCCATCTGGCCTCCGCAATCTCTCGAGCGCCGCTTTCTGCTTGTCACTGCCTTTGAGTGCTCCTGCAGCAACAAGTGGCGACAATATATGTGCGTGTCCCCTCTGCAGTCACGAGGTTCCTTTTGGACTGCTTTGTTTTCTCTTAGCAGGGGAGCGGTGGGCATTCTTGAAGTCACCGCTCAACGAAGACACTTCAAGTTTGCTGTGATATGCAATCCGGACGCAGATTGCACGTACCTGCGAGAAGATGATGAACACATTGACACTAGTGGTCCGCCCTGGCTCAGGCTGTTTGCAGGTCTTCTCAGGTTGCGATAAAGTGCTAATGCACTTGCAGTCATGCACGAACGTCGTCAACCTGTCGCGTGATCGTTGTAGTCTTTGGTTTGGCGGTCTTTGAACATTGATGGGCCTCCACTTCTTTTCAGGTTTTCTTCACCTGTACCCTCAGGAAATGGTTACCTAGGCCGGCATGTGGCAACCGCTTTCGAGTCAGCACGCATTTCTATAAGTGTGTCTCTCCTCGTGAGAGCCCGGGGTGCCCGAGGAGTGGCCCCTGTGGACCCGTCGAACGGGGGTTTGTCTTCGTCCCTGCGCCCGGGACCAAAGTAGTCCGTAGCGGACAAAGTAGGCTTAGGCCAAAGTTATTTGCCAAGACTTGACGAAGTATTGAATCCCAAGCTGGCTCATGCCCTTACGTGACCGCAGCGGTCCAAGCAGCCAGCCACTTTGGCAGAGCACAGGGTGACCATAGCGGTCAAAGTATTTTGAAGGCTCGTTGGAACCTGTCGGGAACTTAGAGTGATGATTCCTCCTCCACCAATCCCCGCTCCACCCGCCATGTCTAATAGAAAAGGACGCCTCCGGAGTGTGTCCCCTCTAGAGTCACGTTCCCTTTGGACTGTTTTGCTTTTCTCTTGGCAGGGGAGCGGTGAGCATTCTTGAAATCACCGCTCAATGATTGGGATATGCAATCTGGACGCAGATTGCACGTACCTGCGAGAAGATGATGAACACATTGACACTAGTGGTCCGCCCTGGCTCAGGCTGTTTGCAGGTCTTCTCAGGTTGCGATAAAGTGCTAATGCACTTGCAGTCATGCGCGAACGTCGTCAACCTGTCGCATGATCGTTGGAGTCTTTGGTTTGATGGCCTTTGAACATTGATGGACCTCCACTTCTTTTCAGGTTTTCTTCACCTGTACCCTTAGGAAATGGCTACCTAGGCCGGCGTGTGGCAACCGCTTTCGAGCCAGTACGCATTTCTGTAAGTGTGTGATTCGTCTCGCTGATGGGAAGTGCTAGCTGCCGCTGCAAATCCATCAGTGAACGAAATGTCTTGGCCAAACAGCTAGGAGCTACATAAGAATTGTACAGGCTTCAACCGGATCTTATGGGATGGGATTTTTTGATGGACTTGTGGTGTAGCACCGCGACGTTTCGTGTTAGTTGCGTAATGCTGATGTTTGGCCGTCCTGACACAACAGTTGCCCTAAAGAAAAATAGTCTGACCTTTAACCAACCTGCCAAACCCACCAATGGTTTGCTCCCAGTCCTCTACGTTTTTTCCGGCCAAACTCGTCCACCTCCTCATCATCTGAGTTCCATTCTTTCTTCGGTTCCTAAGGTGCTTTTCTGAAACCAGTAGCAGCACAATTTTTACATAAGAGTTCAGGAGCCAGCAAACAACAAAATCATCACAAAACAAAACAAGCCAAGACAAAACAAACCCAAAAATAGAAACCAACCAAAAAGAAATGCACACACATACACAAACACAAGGAGTCGCAAATGTTAACCACCGCCCCTGCCCGTCTGCTTCAAGTCACACTGAAAGGGGTTAGGTTCATCCATCACTACCACACAACTCGCAGAACAGTGCCGAAGGGACGCAAAAATATGCGTCCTATGACAAACGCCCGAACCACCCAGTCACAGCTCGCCACAAAGCAGGCCACAAAAACACTGCAAAGCCGTGGCAAACTGTCAGACACCGGACCATCACAAAGATCATCACAAGTCACCACGAACGCGCACAAGCCAATTTGCAACCAAAACCATGCCATTTGGTGTCGCTATTTGATACATGGTATACAATATGCAGTACGCATTACTTTCATGCCGTTTCACTGACAACCTTTACCAACTGTGGCTCCGCAAGCGACACCGGCTGGAAATCCAACTAAAGTTCTCTTGGCCGGTGTTTTGGGTGGATATAATATGAGGGTCGTTAAATGAAGAGTCTTCATTTGCATAATTTGCTGACTGCATCGTGCTTCTGCCACCCACATGAAATGAACACATGAACTACAATGCGGCAGAACTCAAACCATACATGAATAATGTTCGGATTTCCTCGCCATAAAGTCTGACATGCGCGCGCTGAACGACAGGACAAGGTTTTTGCTATTTACTGCACGTGCATGGCTGCATGACTGCATTGCCACCCACATTGGTCCTTTGGCAGGTTTGATGTATAGCCGGCCCCCTTGGCTACAGAGGGAATTGCAAAGATGCAATTCGATATGATCCAAGAATCATCCGGATCTGGTCTGTCAAAGTGACCACCAAGGCGGCCAGACCTTCCTTCAGCTGTTGTAACGATTTCAACCCAGCTCGGATTTTCTTTCTTACCTTGCCAGTGCCAGTACCGCGCATCTGACTGCCAAATGAAACCCGCAATAGGCAAAATCATACGCATATACACATCGAAAATAAAAAGAAAACATTTTTTAAATTCGGTCAGTCGCAAGCCAAGCAAAATCTGTCACAAGCAAGATTGAATCTGCCACAGGGGCGGCAAGTCCAGTCAGCATTAACATTGATGCCGCAATCCTTCTTGCCAGTTCGCCAGTCAGGCATTACTTGCTCGCGAGTTTGTGGAGGCCGCTCATTTGCACACGATAAGCAGTTCTTGCGTTTCTTGAAGTTCAATGTCTTGCAATTCGGACATTTCCAATCTCTCGGATCATAAGTTCCAGGCGCCGGAGGACGGTTGGTCATGAATCCACGCTGACAACGGACCGAACCCCTGAGCCAAAATTTGCATCGCCACAAACGAAAAAATTGTGCGCAGTGCACTGCAAGGGTTTGTCGCACCCGCCCCCAAATAGGCATCGGAAAAAATAACAACCTGTTGAACAAAGGCGGCCAGTCGGACCCCGCATAAACGCAGGTTGCTGGCCCAAAAGAAGACTTGCTGCAGAACCGCTGGCCAACAAACCAGCTCAGGACATGGGGCTGGGTAGTTTTGACTCAATTCCTGTGGTTGGTCCTGCAAACCCAAAAAATCCAGCGCGTTCCTCAGGTCAACTTTGAAAAAACAAAAAGAATTGCGGAAGCAAAGTATGACTGGGGTCGGGATTTCATCGGGCAGCTCTTGGCGTTTTGATACGGGTCGTGTTTGTCCCCCCACCCGCATTTTCAATCGCAAGGTTGTCGAATTTTCACGTGGCTCCAGTTTTTTGCGGAGCTGTGCAAGACAGAGTTTGGCATACGTACAGTGTACAATGTTACACATACACGCATATGTTCATGTATGTGTATGTACAGCGGGCAACGGTTCCAACTGGTTCACTCCGCACTCCAAACATGATCAGCTCGGAAGACCTCCGCAGCTCGCCCTCTTTTGGATTGCCTGAGTATGCGTGAAGTTGATTCAGTGAGAATTTCCACCCCATCAGCAATGAGATAGGGTCGAGGAGGGTGGGGTTTCTGCTTGCCCCCGCTCTCCGCATGTTTGGAGTGCTTGAACCAAAGCAAAAAGCAACATGTTCGGGTTCGACCAAACAGCCATGAGAAACACATGGACCGTTCACTCCGCACTCCAAACATGATCAGCTCGGAAGACCTCCGCAGCTCGCCCTCTTTTGGATTGCCTGAGTATGCGTGAAGTTGATTCAGTGAGAATTTCCACCCAAAAGCATTAATGAATCAACCGCTCAAGAGAACCCCAAAAGTGTGGTGGATTCAGGCATACCGAAAAGAGGAGAGGAGTGGTGAGCGTTGATTCTCCCCTTGGAGAGGAGGCTCACCATCTGCACGCTGTTTGCGGGGGGTACAAAACCGGTTCGGTGTGCGCCGCCCAGAAATCCTGCAGTGAGACTTTGAAGCGGGTCGCGCGTGTGAAACCGAAAGGTGGGTCGGTGACTGCGTCATCAGCCCACCGGCTCAAGGCGTCTGCTTCCTCATTTCGAGTGCCGGGAATATGAGAGGTATCTAGGAAAATATTGAGGCGGCTTGAGACGACAGCTATTTGCTCAAGAACTCGGGCGATGGATGGGTGTGTGCTAAACAGGTTGTTAGTTGCACTTTCTGCTCCTGTGTTGTCTGAGAAGCTTGGAAAGGTCAAGGCTAGACGGGTATGTCTCAAATCTGACGCGACCATGAGAAGAAGAACACCCTGCGCAAGCGTTTCCAACATGCAGATTTCTTTCTGCAGATCCTTCGGGGGTGTGAAACCAACTGCTTCAAGGTCGGATGCGCAAAGGCGGAGAGAAAACCATCGAGCAGGACCCTGGTGACCTTTCCAAAAACCACCAATGCCTGCTTCACCCCCTTGCGCAAAGGCATCCGCTGCCAAGACATCTGTGACCCGAGGTTTGGGCCGCATTGACACCATGGGATTGGTGGTTTGAAGCCATGTTGACAAAAACGTCAAATAGTGCACACTATGGTTGCTCAGCTTACGACTAGGTGAAGAAGGATTATGAACGCGCATCCAGATCCTCCGATCTGTGATGGGCACCTCCTGCACGTCTCTTAATGTGTTTACTTGAACATGACGAACTGATAGCAGCGATGGAGGTTCCCGGAGGTGTGGCCAGGAAGTGCAGATCCTGAGACAAACATGACTGAAGTTGGGACCAGTTTGCTGGGGCGCAACTATACAGGGTGGCTGTTCCGTTAAAGAGGTCGGCGTACAACCAGTGCATGTGAGCACGCAGCAGCGGAAACAAGGCCGTGCACCACATATTTAGGCCGATAAAGCGCTCCAAAGTTTTTTTAAGAGACTTTGCGATGTTTCAAGAGATCGTCGATCAGTTGTAACAGTTTTTGTCTCTGATTTGGATGGAGAGACACGAGGCCTTCCGACAAGTCAAAACGCCAACCGATCCAAACTACTTGGGGTCCTAGGGTGCATATTTTCCAACTAATGGGGACCTTCAGAATCAAACACAGCATACTAATCATGACCGCAGAGACTGGGAGGATGTCACAGTTTTGAGTGAGCAAGAAGTCATCTACGAACAGAAACACAGCGTGCGACGTGAAAATAACCTCATGAAATAAGCAGTGCTGGCTGAACACAGCTCCGAAAGGGCAATTCCTGTAAAAGAAAAAACGATTCTGGAAAGTAAAGCCAGCAAGTCCCTGTTCTGAGGGATGGATACGCACTCGCTTGTGCGCAGCCTTCGCATCGAGACTAAAACTAGACTGGGGGCTTGTTGTATTGCGCAGGGGGAAGAATGCACGACATCTTGCGCCGACGGCATGGATGGCTTTTCAGGAACATGGCAACACTTATTGGTTCCACAAACCGTGTTGGCGGGGAGCGCGACTATCGGAGAAAGCGATGCCAAGCTTTCCGAGGGCGACACCGGAAGGCCAGTGCTGTTGAGCTTGTTCCAGAGAGCCTTCAAACTCGTACACCCCTGTAGATTTGCTGGATTTCTTCCTGAAGCAACGAGTTCGTGATGTCCGGATTGTCCTCCGCGCTTTTCCAGTTGAGGAAATGCTGGGACAAAGATTGCTGCAGCAAGGAGGGTGCATCATGCTTTGCTGTGAAAACATGGGATGGTGGAATATCATGGTTGAACCCAGTGGGAACCCCTGCCAAAAGCGATGGAAACAAGTGAATGTCTGGGCCCTGCATAAGCTCAGAGAGAGCTTGCATGGCGTGTAAACAGAAAGGCTGGTCTGGATCTACACTCCAATCCCAGTGGGAAACATCTGTTAAGCAGCGTTGCAGGGAGTCCCGAAAAATGTGGACCAAGGCATCATCAAAAGGGGGGTCAGAAGATGCGCTGCGCAGTCGCTGCGTCAAATGCTTGTGCAGTTGCTGCTGAAGTATCAAGTCCGTCCATTCCTGGCGCAGCTTCTTGAAACGATTCGGTTGTGGAAAAGATGTTGACCAGTCCCCAGTGCTGGTCAAGCCCCCGCCATCATTGAGGGTGTGTGGCGGCTGAGAGAGGGACTTCACAGGGATCTGCTCTAGCAAAGCTGGGACTGTACAAGGTGCACCGGTTGACATCAGTGGCGCAGTGATTTCGGCAAAGGCCAGAGCCAGAGATTCTGGATATTCGGCAGTGTCGCGACTTGCCCACTGGCCATCCATACCTTGGCGATTGGTGAAGGAAGGATGACCTGAGGGGTGATTACACCGGGATGCAAGGATGGCTAAGGGTGCATAGCTGGTCGCAAACAACCAAGTCTTGTTCCATGAGCGCGTGCTGCCACTGTGCGAGGCACGGGTCCTGCCAAGACAAAGCGTCGAGTGGGTGTTCGAAATGGCCGTGCCCTCCGGCCGCATATGTGGCTTCCAGGCATGACACGCATCGTTCCAGGAGCGTCTGGCTGAGCTGCCATCGAGACTGTTCGCTTGTGGTCATGTTGGGGACGCCTCTGGGGTACTTTATGGTCCTAACCGGTGAAGGTCCTCCTGCACGAGACTTGAGCAGTGAAAACTCGGCACATGACGGGGCTGCTGCGGTGTAGGCACACAGTCCTGAGGCGCATAACCGCAAGAGACGTTCGAAAAAAAGGTCATTGGTGAGATCATGAGTCACACAGCAAAATATCAATGGGGCAGGTTTGCCGCCCTTTTTGATGCAAAGCTTGGGACAATGGTTTATGAGTTCCAGAGCACAAATCGAGAAAAATTTTCGTGGGCTCTGTGGCGCTGTCGATTGAAAAACATGGATGAAACTCTGGTGTGGGCGGTGAGACAGGGCGGACAGGAACCTTCGTGACAGGGCCGATCGGAGGCACGACACGCTGGCCTGAATTGGAGGTCGCGGCTAGCGGCGGGCTGAGCAGTGAGGGTGATGGGGAGTCTACGAGAACAGGCTCAGTGGGGGTATTCGGATCAGCCACCCCTTCCCCCCTAACAGGGTAGCGTTCAATGCGAAGTTTCGGTGTGCTTCAGGGCTGAGTGGGAGCCCTCACAGGCCTGACCATTGCTCTGAGGCATAGAACAAACGTGTAGATACCGGCACCGAGGATCCGAACACATCCCTTGGTTAGAGCGCATGCAGATTGTGTACTTTCGATCATATTTGGTGATCTCGCCCACCCAAGTGGAAGATTGTTTGGGGGCCCGGGGCCCTTACTCTGGCCCCCCTTTAGCTGCCAGGGCATGCCTCCTTTGTTGCCCTTACCGAAGCCCTTGGGGATTGATGCTCGAGGCTGAAGCAAAGAGTCTAAATCACTGCGCACTTCGACGAATCCCTCTCGTGTTAACGAGCTCAAAGATTCGGTACCAGATCTTTTGATCTGCAGCCTGAAGCTCAGTGGTGTTTGGAGCACGGAGGTGCAACTCAGGGTCGAAACGTGCAGCGGCAAGGCTCATGAATTTCTTTACGTACAGCTTGAGGGTGGTAGGTGAGCTGCCTGAACCAAGGAGTAGGAGGCGCTAGCCAACGTGAGAATGTTCTACAATTGCGGGGCTCCCATCTGAGCGGGGATGTCTCTGCTGGGGACGTCATCCAATAAGGCGTCATGCAAGGACAGGTTCTCTAACCGGGGGAGCTTGTTGGGGCGTTGAAGCTGACGGTCATCGTGCTCTCGCTGCGAAAGGCGGAATTTCCACGGGATCCAACTGAACTCCTGTTTGCTAGCTTGGCTGTAGTCGGGGGCCCGGCAAGCTGTCGATGTCCAGGAGCTCTGATGGGTAGTGTGCCTCAAACAGTTGCCTCAGACCTTTCAGGGTGTCTGGTTTCAAACGTGGAGGGAAAGCGTCATGCCACGCGGGGGATTCAGCGGTGGAACCCGAGGCGGAAGCGGCTGGGGCGGAATTGGGTGCGGAGCTAGTTTGCAAGGAC